TGTAAATGAAAAATATTTTTATATTTTTTTTCAAAAAAACCTTTCTCAAAAACAATTGTTTCATCAACTTAAGCAAAAAGTTTTTTGAATCATTCAAATCGGATGCTTCACACACACACATCCATTTTTTCTGAGGTAGGCCAGAATGTTCAGAAACCTCTGAAACGTGATGATATGCAAAAATTTTTATTTTCGATTTTTGATCAATTACTATAACTCAACCTACGGGGGAAGTTAAAAAAATTGATATGCTGGGTTGTCAAATGTATTTGTGCTGCTATCAATAGAATTTATATAATAATTATCTCTAATCTTGATCTAATTTAAAAGACAAAACAAATTTAATTTTAAAGAACTATCCTTCATACTACGTACCAGTGATAACTTTTTAACTTTTTGAAGGAGAAACCCGATTATCTAATGTTATGTGCTATCGACGGTTCGTGTCGTTCTGAATCGTCTGACACCAATCTAATACGTCTGCACCGATTTTGGAAATTACGAAGCCATTTGATCTTAATTACACTGTTCACATTGAAAATTGAAAACATCGAACAATTTTTATCTAAAAATTGCCAACAATTTTTATCTAGAAATTGCGATTTCTCTGATCTTTGTTAAAAGTTCTTGTCTTGCATTAATGTAATTTTGTTAATTGTTATGATGTCGTCATAATTTATAATATTTATAGATTTGTGTGTTTTTTTTTAATATTAAAAATGTGATAAATTTGTATTGGGACAGTCTGGGTACGGTTGTGCCAGGTCATAACAGCTAAAGTAGATATACTGATTTGGGATAGGGTCCAAAGGGAGAAAGATGAAGTATGTTTGTTTGAAAAAGTTTACATTATTGCTTTCAGTCAGCGCTCTACAATAATATGAGACTGAATTGCTTTTCAAACGAAAGTTTTTTTCTTCGATTGCTTTTAATAATATCTAGTACTTGTATACTTTGTTAGTTATTTTGCTATAAGTGGAACCTTAGAAGTTAATTACCAGGAATTAGTTTTGTTTTATGTGACATGTATATGTTGGGAAATGTATTTTTTGTCCTTTTCGGGTGAAACTTGAGCAGATAAAAAAAATTTAACATAACTAGAACAAAATACGAAATAGAAAGGGAAAGGAAAATTCAGTACGAGGAAACAAAAAATTTCACAATGATTTCTGGTTCAAACAATTATATTTTATTATATATTGTTAGATTATATTTATAAGCATAGTATAAATGATTATGTTGTAAATAATATTTTTCTTCTATAATTTGAGGTACTAAAAATTATTGGTTATTCTAGTGTATAAAGTTGATATTGATTCAATGACCTCAATAAATGTAAATGGGGCGTATTATATATAATATTATAACTTCAAAATTCAAATTATTATAATTTAAAATGCATATATAATGCGCAATGCGAAGAAAATGGAGTTTACACATTGTAGTTTTTACTTGTATTGGCACACCAATGGTTGTAATTTTATAATAAATTAACTATTGTTGATTTATTCTATGAGCATTTTCTTGAAAACTATTATTGATTGAACTTTTTGTTCTTTTTTGCAATTTATTTTATATTGTAATATCAATAAACATCTAGTCCATTTTCTATAAAATAAATAAATTTCTGATTCAAATGAAAAAATATTTTTCTAAGAAACATCCATTAATTTTAAGCTTTAGTCATGCTTTTAATTTTTAACGTTGTTTTTAAGTGTTTAAGCTTGAAGCTCTGATGTTCATTTCTTCTACTCGTTATAAAAGTAATAAAAGTTATATGCTTGGAATTATTCAAATATAAAATGTTCATAATAAATAGAATTTATAATACCGTAATAATCGTGTCAAAGTATGCGGAAAATAATATTAAACACGCCTCAACGTATTTTTTAGAAGGGCGGTGTTTTTAAATGCAGAATGTAGATCGTCGGCATAATAAATTATATTTTAATACACGTAGAGGAACAACAAAAGTTTTATAAATAGAAATGAATCCTTATAATTTGGAGAGAAATGAAAGACTTCTCTTGCAATTATTCAGATATAAAATGAATTATAAAGTATTTGTGCTCACTTTAAGTCATTGTATCCTGTTGTATTCGTTGTAAAATAGGTATCAAAGTAGAATTTGGTACTTTGCACAGTTTTTTATGTTGTTTCATTAAAATTAAGGTGAGAATCAATGATTATAAGTTAATAGAAGTATAGCAATCAAATACATTTCAGAATACATAAAAGTTAACACATGTCTTCCATGAAAAATTTAACAAATTTCCTTCTATTTGATTTTCAATACCCAAAAAAATTTGAAAAACCCTAATGCAAAAGTGAATCGAAAATGGAATTGCAGTGCCTCTGCATTATTTTTATCAATTCATCAATTCAATTAAAAATGTTTAGGAATGGTTTTTATGTTAAAAATTACAAGTATTTTGTTTTCTTTGAATAAAAAACCAAATAAAATAATTATACGTTGATTATTTTAACTTATAGATGTAAATTGTAATGTGATTGTTGAAACAAGCTGTGAACTATAAAAAAAATATTTCAAGATTTTCAAATAATTGCATCATATCACAGATTTTTCTGTTCGCACGAAATACAAGTATTTTCATAAATATATAGAGTAGAGCGGGGCTTAAAGGTTCACGGGTAAAAAGGTTCTCCACTGATATCTCTAAAACAAGTAAAGTTACATTTTTTTAACAACAATATCAGAAAGTAGAGGAAAAAGATATATAACCACCCATCCCCTTGATTCTTGCACGATGCCATACTTATTTTGCATTTGTTAAATAATGTAGCAATTATTTTGTAAACTCCCCTTAAAACTAAAAATAAGGCCCCTAGCCTGTTCTAATTTATACCGCCTATGGGATAAAAAGAATCAGGTGGCAAATTTTTGAAATTCAGTAAAAAAACACGTTTCTACGACGATGAAAGTTTTACTGAACATAATCAGATAAATATTTGTTGTGATATAATTAATTTGGTTTTCACAATATAATTGCTCAAAATAAATTGGGTCTTTGTGTCCCGCCCTATTCTATAGGTAACATATCTTCTTATGATTTCAGTTTTCTAAACTAAAACCCTCCTCTTTCTCAAAAAATTATTTAATTATGTTTACATTTATACATTTGTTTTTTATACATAATTTTTTTTTTATTACAAAGTTACAAGTACTCATAATAGTGAAGAAAACATCTATAACTCGTGATATTTTCAATTATAGTTTTTAGTAGATGTAATAACTTGATTTTTAGTGAGTATTTAATTAAGAAATTTAATGTTCAAAAATAATTAATAAAAGGTTTCTGAAGAAGGAGACATCTGATATCCCCAAAATATAGAAAATATTTATAAATAAAAATTTAAAATAAATATCTGAAAAAGGGAGGCTAATAGTATATAGCTTATATATTTCAGCATAATCAAATCATAAATAATAATAGCTATCCATATTTAAATAATAGTCTATTTATATCAAAATAAGTTAATAAACTATTAAAAGTATTCAGTATAAGTTTGTTGTAATTTAATTTCTAATTAATTACTAATTAATGTATAAACGATTGACTTCTAAAGTTCAATTTGGTTGATCATTTATTTAAACTTTTTTTCTATTTTCTACGGATTATTTTAACAATTAAAAATTATAAAAATCCATCAATCAACTTTATCGTACAAAATATGGGTAATAACTTGGATTTTATAAAAATAAAGCACTTGAAATGGCAACGCCCCCAGACTCTTGGCGCCCCGAATGAATACTAAGTATCTTGTACCATTTCCCAGGGCGCTGAACTTGTTTTTAATATTAATGATTATTTAAATATTTAAAAATATAAAATGAAATGGCATATTTCAAGCTGTATTTGTGCGATAAGAAGTTTTGGAAAACGTTATTTCTTTTCAAAGTTGGTCAAGTTTTGTCATAGTCTTTCTTCGATATGGAACCATAATAGAATGCTAAGGAACATAGGCCAATTTTAATTTGTAATAGTAAAAGTTAATCATAGTCTTTCTTTCATATGAAACCATTAAAGAATGTTTTGAATTTTGAAAATAAACAAAATTTTACTTTCTGATAGTAAAAGTTTGTCATAGTATTTCTTCCATATGGAATCCTAAAAGAATGCCAACAAAATATGCCATAAAAATTATTTTGTGGTAGTAAAAGTTTTTTAAGGCAGGGCTATGCCTTTAATTAATGTTCAAAGGATTAATGCAAATAATGGAACTATTATCTAAATACTATATGCGAATTGAGAACACAAATAAAATAGAAACGCAAAGAAAAACAACTTTTTAATTTACTTGTTTGCGAACCATTCAATTGGGAAACTCGACATGCTCATAGGAGTAGAAGCCTCTAGGATAGAAACACAGTATCCACTGGTGTCATCCTTGTTTCACAAATAGAATTTGTCAATATTTAGAAAAGGACACGAGATACCCGGAAAAGCCACGTTTGCAAGGTTTCAGCGTGAAATACGCAGACGCCAAATAATCGATAATGTAAGTTATTTTGTACACGTCTTTCACAATTACTTGATGTTAATCCATCAATGAACGACCACAATTACTGCGATAACATGAAAAATAAATTTAAATTGAAATAATACTGAAAAAATAAAAATCGTGAAATGTAGAACATTGCTGGGTCGAACGTTGTCGCGTCATGTAGAAGAGTAACAGAACAGTGTCCAAAATAACATCTAAAATAAACTAAATTCATAAACACTTTTTTTAATTTACTACATTTTCAAACTTTATTTAACAAAACTAACTAAAATGTGTGAAAGCAAGTGAATTACCATGATTTTCAGATGTAGCAAGGTAAGCATATGTTTGATCATCCACAACTTGGTTCCAAATATTCTAAGTATTATCCTAAAGATTACAGATTCAAGCAAAGGTCTAAGAAGAAACACATATCATGAACATTGAGAAAATCTACAGAAAATTCGATGGATCAAAAATCCAGAGCTTGGAGCATGGAGTTGGAGGTGATCGAGCATTTACAACAGTGCTCATGCAACTGCAACCATATGGGATACGGAAATGTTATAGATTATCAACAGGTATTTATTTGAATCATTATATTAGCATGTGTGTAATGTACTTATATATTATTGAGTCCCAAACAGCTGAAATTTGATGGTTGATTATTATGTAAATGACTTCTAAAAATGGGTTTGCTTGTTGCTACATGCTTACGTGTCAAAACCTCCAACGTGTGCGCACTCTCTAACTTGTTTTCAATGTACTTTTCCATAATAGATTTTGCATTCGTGGTGAAAGCTCGTCCTCTGAAAGCTCCTCCGAAAATAAATAAAAGTATAAAAAATTTAAATAAATTTTAAATGTTGATAATTATTATTGGAAATAAAAGCTTGTTGTGATTATTAAATATTTTTTGAATTTTTTGGTGATTTTATCCAGTTTTTGTGATACCATATGGTTGATTGGTATCTTGGAGATTACACAATGAAACACTGATAGATACGAGGGTGGTTATCAGTTGTAATATATTAAATTTCAAGTGTTAAATATTATTAACAAATTGAATTTATTAAAAAAAAATTTTTTAATATTTTCTTATTTGCTTCATTTGTGTTTATAGTCAAGGCATTGGAGTTAAATTATAATACTCATGATTTGATTATTTATTTTTAACATTTATGTTATTTTTCATTTTTTTCTTAAAATTGCAAGGAGGTTTAATTATAAACTGGTGTGCATTTTTTTAATTTATTGTTTGGATATTAAATTTGTATATTTCAGACCGTTCTCCAGGACTTACCGGACTTAACTGAAATCCACTGCAATGGCATTCCGGATCGAAATAATCCTGCTGACGTCACCAGGTTATCACCAGATGCCACCGAAGTCCACAGGCCAAAGAAAACCGAAGGCAATTCCAAAAGACGATACATTTGTATCGTCTTTTGTGTCTTAACCGTCCTGGTTGCATCCGGAGTCGGCGTTCCATTTTCCTTAGGCATCGTGCCAGGGCTAAGGAGCAGCTCGCAGAATAGGCTAGAGATTATCTATAAGCTGCTCAAGGATAACCCACTAATTGGTATTTAATGATTTGACTAATTATTTTGATAATATTGTATAACATATGTAGTTGTAGATGATTGCAGCACTATCAAAGCTTTAAGACGCTTTGAATCACTCTTTGAAACACTGCGATGAATATTAATCCAGTCAGAGCGCCTTTTACGTTTTAGAGCACTTATAGCTATTATTGCTTACAATGATAAAAGCCAGTCGGAAGCCTTTTAACACTGTAAGCTCTGATAGCTGTTAGCGCTGACAACGCTGAAAGCTGACATCCTGCATCTTTAGTCTAGTATATGTCTATGATGTTATGTTTTTATCTCCTTTTTATACTTAATAGTTGTTGTTAGAATTAGTACTAGGATTAATTTTGTACTATATTTCATAGATTAATTTGTAGAACCTATATTAGTAGTATTTAAGTCACTTATATACCTGATTTGTATATGTATTTTTGCATTCTCTTACACTTGTATTGCATATTTTCTATATTTGTATTTATATTTGTATCTTACATTTATACCAAAATGTGTTGAAATAAATAAATAAATCTATAACAATAAAATTAGGCAAATATTTAAGCCTAATCTCAACTCTATTTGAATGAGCATACTATATCTGATATCACTTTTCGAAGTATTTTTTTCATAAAATATCTTTGTTTATGAAAAAGTGCAAATAAAATTTCTTTTAACAGATGGTCACAACGATCTTCCATGGAATCTACGTCGGTTCGGACACGGTAGTATTGCAGGGGTCAATTTAAGCTCATCGGTAGCTACAATTGACCCTTGGGCCACGTCACCCTGGTCCCAGACCGATATCCCGCGACTGAGGAAGGGGCAGCTGGGTGCCCAGTTTTGGTCAGCGTATGTTCCTTGTGGGGCGCAAGGTCTGGATGCAGTGCAGATTGTTCTAGAACAAATAGATTTGATTCGCAGGTAATATCATACGATAAAATTTAATATCACTATTAAAACGTAAAATACGAATCGCGAATTGAAGATTTTTCATAAAATGGATTTTTTTATTTCTATGCTTTTTTACTAATAACTGAACATGATGGTTAGTGATTAAACATTTAGTTTTTAACTAACAATTTCTCAGCATCGAGCAATTTCAAAATTGTTTTTGTAATTAACAATAAAGTTCAAATTCATCATGATTTTCCCAAAAATTATGAACTGATTTTCGAAATTCAAAACTTAGTTTCTTTATGTGGGAGTCTATGAGGTTTTTCTATACCAAAAACGGATGTAAATATTTTATAAAATAAAAGCTAATAAAAATATTTAATCATGGAAATGATATTGGATGATTTATTATATTAGATGAGTGCGTGACTACCATTAAGATTGCATAAAATACAATAATTTCAAAATATAGCGGAAATTAATTCATAAATCTGAAAAAACGAAAATGTATCAAACTCACAAAAGTTATTTATTATTGTTAATATTTAATGGAATTGTCTAGGAAAGAAATGAGTATTCGACAAATTTTAAATTTTTACAAACAAAATTATATATAATTCTTTTATTTTGTTGTTACTTAAAGATTTGTTGTTACTTGTATTTTTCTACATAAAAATCAATCCAAAACATTTCTAATTAAATTTAATGATTTGTTAAAAATAATGCAGAGTCTTATCATTTTGTTTCATTCTTAATTATTAACTTTCACATTACGTTTTCTGCAATTCTTTGTATCTTTAATGTAAATTATTACAAAATTAATAAACATTTAATAAAATTAAAAATATCCAAAAGCAAAAAAAGCATTAATGTGTTTATTAATGTTTTTTAAGCTTATACTTTGATAAAATTTTGAAAATTGCAGCTGAAATATATTTATGAATTTAAATGATATTCTGCGTTATAAGTTATAATTATATATAGAATGATCGATTTCTAACTTTAATTTATTATGTGATCGAACCAAAATTTATCAAAAAATTAATTTCTTCTCTAACCTTTCATAATTTCAAAAAATTTACTAAAAAAATTTTTAACTTGCTAATTTACCTTTATTTACTAATAGATTCTAATCATATAAGTAAGCTAGTAATTTCAAGTATGCCATTTCTTAAATATTACAACAAATAAGTAAACATACCACAATTCGAAAAATAGTTCTCATAATACTTATGATAAAATTAATAATAAAGTTAATATATGTTCAACAGAAGTAGCTATATATAGCTTTCGTTGAGATGTAATTTCAAAAAATTTATATTTTTTACATTTGTATGTTTTACATAAATAAACGTTTGCACGAAACCATTAGACAAAGAGAAAAAAAATTCTCTTACATCTTCATATAAAATTTTGTTGGTTTTGATAACATTGTTTTACTGGCCATTTGTCAGAAAATACTCCTTTTCTTCAATATATATCATTATAAACAACTATATGGATCAAGTTTAGTTCATTAATTTTGTTTTATTTAAAAAAATGTCCTTCTATTCTATGAGTACATTATTTCGCGAATCGGTAATTATATATTACAATTGTAATATATAATAATGTTAACATTATTGTACAAATATTATATTTTACAAAATATGCATAGTGTATAAATGTACAAGAAAACATTTTCCTGCTTATTATGAGATATCACCAACTATTTATGCATTAAACATATGATTAATTTATCGTTTTAATATAATATTCAACGAATTAAAGAATTTTATGCTACACTACATATTTTTTCCATCTCGTAAGCTGACTAGCTATTAGTATGGCGAAAAAGCACAAATAAGTAGTTTACTTTTATCTTTTCCACATTTAAAAATGTGTTTTTAATAAATATATATATTCATAAGTTATTAAATAAATATTTTTTGCAAAATCTGCACTGGATTTGTCACAACATATAAATTTATTAACTTTCCGTAGGGTAAGTTATAGTAATCGCAAAAAAATCGAAAATGAAAATTTTTATATTTCTTTACGTTTTAATGGTCTGTAAACATTTTGGCATACGATCGATGAATGTATGTGTGTGTGTTCGGAGGCAAATTGCTTCCCGTATCGAAAATTAAATTTTTAAAAAGCTTTAATTTTTTTTTAAAAAACTTTGAAAAAAAATAGATTTTTATATAAAATAGATTATGGGAAGTTGAAAAACATTTTATTTGTATTGACGAAACGAAAAACTGATTAATTTTTAGGGAAAGCAGGTCCAGCGGTTTCGGAGATCCATTTAAAAAAGTAAAAAATATGCCATTTGGCGATCAACAATGATATGCACATCAAATTATCAGTTATTTTATATAGATTTTATTAATAAGAACAATTTTTATTTATATTTCTATGAGTTCCGCACCAATGTTTAACCGTTGGACAGCGAGGCGGCGCTTACGCGCATCGATATTTCGTCTCTAAAACAACTACCCAGCGCCATTGCATTGAAAAAAAGTTCAACATATAAAAAAATCAAGTTTTATCAAAAATTTTAAAAATTTTCCAAAGTTTTTTCTTTTTTTTAATAGTTCTCGATAAGGGATGTTCCACAAATTTGCCTCAATGCACGATGCCATGCACTACTGGTTAAATTGCCAATACTGTGTTTAACACTCGTTATAATTTTACTATACCATTTTTCAGACTATCTGAGCTACATCCGAGGCACTTGTCACTGGTCACCTCAACCAAAGGCATTTTGGAAGCTTACAAAGCCGGTAAAATAGCTTCCTTAATAGGAGTAGAAGGTGGACATGCCATCGACGGATCTCTCTCCGTTCTAAGAGCCTTGCATATGCTGGGGGCACGATATTTGACAGTAACCCACTCTTGTGACACCAGCTGGGCTGGTGCAGAAGATTCGGAAAGAGGGCTAAGTGATTTTGGCAGAGAAGTGATACGCGAAATGAATCGTCTAGGAATTATGGTAGATTTATCCCATGCCTCGTTGACTACAGTTAGAGATGTATTAAATGTAACCAGGGCTCCAGTAATTTTTTCACATTCTTCTGCCAAAGCTTTGTGTAACGCAACACGTAATGTTCCTGATGATATTTTGACTTTACTTAAAGATAATGGAGGATTGGTAATGATTAGCTTTTATTCTTTTCACATTGCTTGTGGTCGTACAGCAAGCATCGCTGATGTTGTAGAACATATAAAGCATATAAGAAAAATAGCAGGAATAAATCATATTGGTTTAGGTGCAGGATATGATGGCATTGATGTGACCCCAAGAGGTCTTGAAGACGTTTCTCGATACCCACATCTGCTTGCTGAGTTGTTAGAAGATCCTACTTGGACGGAGGAAGATGTTGCTTTGATAGCTGGAGGTAATTTGTTGCGAGTTTTATCACAAAATGAAAAATTAACGGAACAGTGGCGATTAGCGGCGGTTCCGCCAACGGAATATATTGATAACACTATAATTTCACAGTGTTCGAGATCGATGACAAAGTCATGACGATCGAGTCTAACTACTATCGTGAATTGCTAAAATCATTTCAGATAAATCAATTCTTGTTACGATAACTACTATAATATAAAAAATAAAAAATATTAAAATAAACCACCTATTGGAAAAATGTAATATGCATTTTATTACGTAGTGTTTGTGCTATCAGTTTTTAAATTTGCAATTTTTTTTGAGAAAAAATCTAATTCCATTCCAGCAAATTATCAATAAGATATTTTGGCGTGTTTGCTTTCACAGACTTCAGTTTTTCAAAATCTAAATACTATTCTAAAATACAGAAAATCTTTGTAATCATTTTCACAAAACGTTAATCATAATAACTAAATTGATTGTGCTAATGGGCATACAAAAATTAAGCTTATTATAATTGGGTATAATAAGACTTATGATATTTTAATTATATCTTTTGAGAAAAACACTTCTATAATAATAAATATATTTATTAATATTGAATTTAAATATCGTAACATAATAAAAACATATTGACATGTACAATGAGGTCTTTATAAATGTGTTATTACACAAATTTTACATTAGTAACAATTAAATATTTCATTCAAACCAAAATGATACTGAAAAACTAATTGTTCTTGAAGTAACATGGTGCCACCATTTAGGCGGAATATATAACATATCACCAGAGCGCAATGTGCATGTCATTCGTTTAGCTTTCATAAATAATGGAAATCTGTTTAGATCTAAATTATCAAGATCAATTTGTGATGTATTATTTAGCATTTTGGCTTCATGTGGATAAAGATATTCATTATCGTCAGGTGAAAATAATACAACTTGTTTAACACCAACTACTTGTGCCAAAAAGTTATGCTTTGGGTCCGTGTGTAAAGGTGATATTGTGCCTTGAGGGCCAAACCAGGCATTAATTTCAGGCGGTGAGTCTATATCAGAAACACAACAATAATCCGGTACATGTATATCGTTAAGAAGTTCTGGAATTTGGTCGAATAGTCTATATTGAGCTAAATATCCTTTGGTTGTGTTTGGGGCATCCTTGAATATATGCTCAATGATAAATTCACGTAAGGTCATTAATTGTTGACTCCACGACTCATCTGTGTATTTTGATCCTAGTTCTATTGGCACTGTTCTGTTATTTGCAATTTGTTGTATATAGTTCAAATCTCGCCATTTCTCAAGGGCCGGCCAATGGTTTATGCAGCCTTTAAGAAGTAACGGTACACCTTTATCAAAAAATGAATTCTTAAATAATTCTATGCTAGGGCAAGATAATATCTTTATTTTTTTAGTGGTATCTGGTATACTATTTTCATCTTCTCTGCTGATTACAAATGACTTATTTGTTGATGGAAAACATTTATTATATATGTTTACAACAAAAGTGATTGCTTCGTTCATGATGTTTGGGTAATTATCTAGAGGAACCCCTAACATTATAGCCATATCTCCTAATCTAATTATGTCTTGTAAACTAGTGGACAAATCATCAGATTTTTTATCTAATTTTACAGTAAGCAGCAACATATACTGCATTTTGATAAAACAGCTATAGAAATACAATTTTCGTAGATGAATTCGAATTTCGCTCCAATGGCCAGTGTGTAAGGATTCATGTGTCTTATCGATAACCGAATCAATTAAAGTCAAATTATTTTCAATTTCAGATTCAGTTAAAGATTTATACTCTGACAAGTCTGTGGTGCACTTGACTAATAGAAACATTACGCATTTTGAATTTTCTGCTAATTCCTCGAGAATCGTCTGATCCTGTAATACTGGTATTGATTTCTGTACAAATTGGTATATATCATTTGAATCCATAATTATAAATAATATGTATTTATACTTATTTATATTTTAGGTGAGTTGTATATAAAATTTTAGGTTATGTTTATCTGACATTTGCTTAGACACTTTAATGTTTTTTGGTGGTACCATCTATTGAGAAAATTCTATAATAAAAACGCGGGAAGTTTAACATTTGAAATTCTTAAATACATATATTTAATTTAAAATGAAAGAAGTGTATGGCATCGTGCTTTAAGGCAAATTGCTGGAACTTCCCGTACCGTAACGAAATGTTCGAGGAATATTAAACGTAAAACATATAGATTATTATAAATACTGTAACTTTCTTTATTCTTATTAAGAAATATAATGTCTTATTTATTAAACTAAATATTTTTTATAAATTAAAAAAGTTGAAAAAAAATTCTTTCACCAAAAGCAATCGTTTCGTCAACACAAGCAGAAAATTTTCTGAATTATTCAAATCATATGCTTAGTTCTCCTAAAAACTACCATTTTTTGCTTGGTATCTCCAAAACGATTAGACCTGCTTCATCATCATTACAAATGTTTTTTGGATCATTCAAATCGGGTGTTCCGTTCTATCAAAATCTCGAATTCTATTTTCTGCACACTTTGCTTCGATTCTCCGTAACGACTGGACTTGCCTTTGCCAAAAGCTAATAAGCACATTTCCCTATCAATAGAAATCGAATGTTTTTTTTAACTGTTCAAATCGGTTAATCCGTGCGCCTGAAAACGTGGACAAAAAATGCGGACGTACAAAATACACACACACACATCCATTTTTTCTGAGGCATGCCAAAATGTTCAGAAACCTTCAAAACGTGAAGAAATGCAAAAAAAATATTTTTGATTTTCGGTCTATTACTATAACTTACCTTACGGGAAGGTAATGATGCCAATTGAATTGCAAATCCAATAATTAAGGAATCCATTTTATAAATCTATTATTACACTTATGCATGTTGCTAATCCAATTCATTTATTAAAGTTTTTATTTATTAAAGATTTAGAATGATTTGTAAAATTGGTAAATCGGATTTTCTGACAAAAATCTATAACCGAATAACTTCTCGTTTCTATATAAATTATTCCTTCGGGAAGTTGATAAAAATATGACTTAATTTAAATTAAATAAAAGTTTGTACCAGTGGTTTCGAACCTATTCGTATCGCGCTCTCTCTCCAGTTTTTATAAAAAAAAATGTATCTCCTCAGCTTAACTTTCTTACAATCTGTATGAGATATATTATTTAACTGAATATTTATCTATTCATTATTTTATATTTTATATCATTTCAACATTGTTGGTTTATTTTGGAGAATAGTTTCCCTCCCTCCTCGAACAGCCCCATAGTTTGTAAACCGCGGTTTTATATCATTTAAAAGATTTTAAATATTATTATTTACAAAATTTTAAATAATAAAATTAAAATATTATCAATATATTTTATTTTCATATATATACATATATATTAATTAAAAGCAAATTTGTTTGTTATAAACAACAAAAATATGTTCTTAATAGAATATTTGTTGTCAGTCATTTGAATTATAAAATTAAATTTTTGTTATATTTTTACAAAATCTGCATAAAATAAATAATTATGTATATCTACTTTCGTTTCTTCTTGATTTCGTGAGTAGCAGGAGCTAACAAACTGTGTCTTTTATAGGAAAGTATGAAATTAATTAAATTTAAAAAGTAAATGGTAACGCAAACTACACACAAATCGTGAAGAACAAAATATAGAATACATGCCAAATAAATTGAGAGAAGAATCGATATGAAACTTAAAGCTAATTGAATTTTTGCTGTCCAACGTTTCTCTATGAGAGCTGAAACAAATAAATTTCATTAGTAATAATTACAATTTACATATTTTGGTAATAAAATTTCAATTATAATATACCAACCTAAAGTAGAAATGAAGGAGTAGAAGATAATGCCAGTAAATCCGTTGGGTTGGTTGAATTTTGAATTTTCTCCTAATATTAGACCAACAATTCCAAAGCCTTTGCCATACCTGTAAATGATAGAGACTGTGTATTACGAAAGTAATTTATTGCATTTTAATGATGTTTAAAATTATCTATTAAACAACTACATTGTAATTATCTTTAATTACGAAATATATGGCATTTAAGCAATTAATCGTAAAGAGCTAATTATAGATATTATGTAAAAATCTATAGTATATATATGTATATATATATATATACATATATTAACAAAGTCTAATAATCGGGCTTAACATCAATAAAAAACTTTTATTGAAATTTTTATTGATGTTATGCCCGATTATTAGACTTTGTTAATACATATGTCAACATCAAATTCAGAATCACACAATATATATATATATATATATATATATATATATAGATAATATTTTTAGGGACACTTATTACATAGATTGAGAGGCTCATTTGAACCTCAATGCATAAAGGTTGTTAATTTTTTAAAATTATTACTCTAGGTGTACGAATAGTTTTCATAATCTTTTTATTCGTTTCTTTATGTTTGCTAATTTATTAACATTTAACTTTTCCTCTTATGAATAACCTATTTTTTTGGCATCCAGACGATAAATCATATACATTTTTTATTAGACGTAATTTTTCTATTTGTCATGAATTAAAGATATATTTTGAATACATTTGCGGATCTGATACAGATTTGTTTGTTTCATATTCGTGTAGCACATTTTTGTGATTAAAATTCTTTCTTTTAATATCTTTTATTACCCAGACGTCCAATTACTAAATTGGCATTCATTCGTTTTATACATTCTAAGTACATACTACCATAAATTTGCTGATTTTTCATATGGAATAGGTGCAGATATTAAAAAAATATATTATAACTTTTAACAGGATTTTATCCTCAATACATTTTTTCTGCGTTATATATAATAGATATTCGATATACTAAAACCCGATTACCTAAATGTACTCATTTAAAAATTGTCGAGAAGTAGAACTATTTTAACAAATCCAACTATGCAAATCATTTTTGCGTAGAAATTTAACTCAGTACTGATTTTCGTCATCGATTTGTTCGATTTGTCAATATCAATGCCTAAGCCAAAAAATCTTTCCAATTCAATGATCTTGTACTACATCATCTTTTACTAATCTGGTTTAGCCTTACACAATACTACAATGTAATAAATTATTACATTGTAATCGATTAATTGAACCTTACGGGCCGATTCTGCCACACAACAGACTAATGTTATGGCAAGGCCATGTTACGCTCCAACTTCCTTACATTATGCTACTGAATCATAATGAATACTGTCAAAATGTCATATATTTGCTGTGCATTCAGACGTTTTACACATAAACAGCAACGTCACTCGTATGTTATGAAGCTAGGTCAGAAACACCATGTTATCTAAGATCGTTTTTTGACATTTGTGCGGTTTATATGTTAGGTTTTCTATCTTACAATCTGAAAGAACGCCTGACTGCACAACAACCACATGGCTTATATATTGATAAAATATATATTGACAAATGTATTGACAAATGACAATAGTCTTGCCATAGTGTTGTGCGGCAGAGTTGGTTCATTAATCCATCAATCTTTAAAAACTTTCTTGACTAGAGAGTTCATATATAAATTAAATATTATAGACAACATATAATTTTCTTCCTTTAATTGTTTTCCAATTTTTTCATCTTTGGTGTCTCCTTTATCTAGTTTTAACGGGTTTTTTTTAAATACAAATTTAAAAAGTCTCTAATTAGTTGTAGTCATTTTGATCGTATGATACATAGACATAAAGCAATTAAGAACAATGTTAAGAATTGATTGCTAATATCTACTGAAAACTGAGAAACGGGAAGATAATATTTGATCGCTAATTGACTATTACATTAATATTCCACAAATATAATTTTACCTGGATGTCAACACTCTACTGCAACTCATATGTTCACCAATATCGCACATGGCTGGTTGATCAGGATGAAGTTCAGCCGAAAGTTCCACAAGAAGTGCGTACGCCGACAAAATCGAAGCAAACATACAAGTTACACCCAAACATATCGAATAAGTTCTTGCATCAGCAGCCATAGTTGTAAAACTTAGATTTGATCCTAAAAATTAATAAATATAGTTAGTTTTGTGTTGAATATCCTGGTTTAAAGCAGTCGTAATATTAGTTTTGATTTGAAAATATAGACTTGAAATTTGTTATTTCAAGTGAAAGTAGACCTTTGGATTATTGCTGCATAAAAATAAAAATATTATAAGTATTAGAGACATTCTAATAATAAAATGATACCTAAAGAAGGTACAGGGTAGTCTAAAAGGTGATGATTTTAAAAAGCTCAGCTAATTCAAGTTGTTACGCGTATATTGTCATTATTTTGTTTAACTAAATTTATAGTAATTTAAATAATTAACTTCCCGTAGGGCAAGTTATAGTAATCGCAAAAAAATCGAAAATGAAAATTTTTACATATCTTTACGTTTCAAAGGTTTCTGAACATTTTGGCATACCTTAGAAAAAATGGATGTATGTGTGTGTGTGTGTGTGTATGTATGTACGTGTGTGTATGTATGTGCGGATACAAATTTTCGCCGACGATTTCGGGAACACGAATCAACCGATTTGGATAATTCAAAAAACATTCGATTTGTATTGATAAGGAGACGTGCTGATTAGTTTTTGGCAAAGGCAGGTCTAGCCGTTCCGAAGATACGGGGCAAAAAGTGCCGAAAACGGTAACTCAGTTTTTAAAAGAACGGAGCGTCCGATTTGAATAATTCAAAAAACATTTCACTTGTATTGATAAGATGAAGAATCGATAAAATTTTCATGAATCTAGGTCTAGCGGTTTCGGAGATATGGAGGAAAAAGTAAAAAAATGAGCCATTTGGCGGTCAAAAATGATCATTAGACATATGCACGTCAAATTATCAGATATTTTATAGAGATTTTAACAATAAGTATACATTTTGTTAATATTCCTATGGGTTCCGTACCAATGCTTATGCGTTAGACAGCGACGCGGCGCTTACGCGCTTTATATTTTGTCCCTATGCAGTTAAAGCAGTACGATTGCTTTGAAAAAAAGTTCAGATCTTTCACAATATGTCAAAATAAAAAAAAATAAAAATTTCAAAAAAAAACAAAAAAAAAATTTTTTTTTTCAAAGAAAAAGTAATTTTTTGTCCAATTTATAGTTTCTCAAAAATCTTATTTTTTCAAAGTAATTTTTTTTTCAAAAATGTTAATCGTTTTTTAAAAAATAATAATTTTTGGTACGGGAAGTTCCAGCAATTTGCCTTAAGGCACGATGCCTTAATTGCCTTAAGACAGAATTCCACTTACAGCTAGTTTAGTCAATTAATTGGTCTACATAATTAATTTAATCTCACTATACCAAAAAGAAATTACAAATCCTAGTAATGGCTCTTATAGTGCAAGATTAAATAACAGCATAATTAGTTTCTAAACTTTTACGACTATACAAAGTAGTTCCGCGCATCTAAAATTATTTCAATGCATTATTTATAAATTGTTATTTTTTTTAGTAATTGTTAAAATTATGTCCAAAAAATTATATCCCATATTGGATTTGGAGCTTCGACATGGAGGTCCGGCAAAAGCTCTCAAGTATTTTACCCTTATTATATTCAAATACTTTACCATTCAATTCAAAACTCTATCAAGTACTTTACCATTTTACAATCCTGATTAAATATGCCAACTTTTGATAGAACTTGCCAACACATTTTAGTAAAAAAAATTTGAAGGAGCGCCTCTTAGGGTAAAAATAATTTAGAAAATTTTGAATTCATTGTTTTACAAATGTTTTGGAAACTAATAACAAAAATTATGTCATTAGTTTTGACTGTGAATCAAGAAATGTTATTTACAATTACGGATCGGAAGTTTAAATGAATAAAACTGATAAAAATTAACCCCAATAATCAAAAAATGATGTGACAGTATCACCAAAGATTTAGGTTGCACTGAAAAACTCGTAATTTCCAAACTACATTGAACGATTTTTTTTCATTATAACTATCACTATATAACTTAATTGAACATATATAACTTGAACATAATTTCAAATAATGAATACTATTTAAGGAAACACCAAAAATTCGATTTCTTTGAATAAATCAATTTTACTTTATCAGAATTTTATCAGCACCAAAAATTAGATTTTTTTGAATAAATCAATTTTATTTTATCAGAATTACTTTATTAGGTAGGACTTTATTATACAATTATGTGCTATATTATATCTTATATTTTTTGATTTACTGTATGTTTTTTAGCCTTGTATAACACTATGTTCATTTTTCTTTATAAATTAACATAATTTTGGCAAAAAATAGTACAAAAGTGCTAAGCAGTCATGAAGTTCGTTTTCATAATTTTTGTAAAATTGAAAATGAATTCAGATATAAATATGTAGTTGCAAAGATTCTACTTAATTCTATAATTTTAAAAAACTCGGGACAATCCGGGACAAAAGATCTAATTCCGAGACAAATGTTGCTTTTAGAAAGACCAGGACGCAAGGTGGAAATTCGGGACTCGGGACATATGATCACCTTATTAAATTTCCTGTTTTTAATGATAAATATTGATTTATCTTACAAATGCTTTTAATACATTAAATGTAATAATACTATTAAACATTAAGTATTGAAATAGAATTTGAAAACAAAACAGAATATTAAACAGTAAAAAAGTACAGTATTCAAATCAATGTCAAGGTCTGATACCTACGAGACGTGTGTGCAAAAACTCGAACCAGACAATCATCCAAAGCTCAAATTAATTACATCACGATTATTTATCATTTTCGGTGCATATTAATATAAAAAATGTATTCAGTTCGGAAATGTATGTATAATAATTTGCGTAATTAGCTTACAAACAGCGTTGCGATTAACTTTTTTCTCCACTCTGGTGTCCTAATTTGCCTTCGGCGTTGATAAGACAAACTGCTTTTTAATTATATTGACATGCTTTAACACATCGCTCATTATGCAGAAAGTGAATTAATTTGCTTAATCGTCTTGGCATTATATTATGCACACGAAGAGATCATGTGTCGTAAATTTAGGGATCGTTAATATATTATATAACGTCGAGATACACACACAAACATGATTATATCTTATATATAAAAATGGATCGCAAAATGTGTTGGTAAGCGCATAACTCAACAACGCCTGGACCAATTTGGCCAATTCTTTTTTTAAAATGTTCGTTGAAGTCCAAGAATGGTTGTTACGGCGAGAAAAAAACGAATAATTGCCGGGAAAACCCTAAAACAGCCCTTTTCTTCTTTAATCGAGTAGGCAACGCAATTTGTAAAAAAACAATGATCTATGTCATGACATTTTGTGTAGTTTTTGATAAACTAATTTTGAATATATTTATATAAACATAGAAATATATTTCTACTAATCAAGCTATATTGGCAGCCATAAACTTTTAAATGCTTATAGTGTTTTATTTAACTATTTTTAATTCACAGCGAATTATTATTACCAGGGTGACGGCTCTGTTCAGGATAATTTTTTGCAAAGAATAGAAAAAAGGTAGGCTCAAAACACCGCCACATTACAATTTTTTTTGACAGGACAAAGTCTGTCGGGCCGGCTAGTTAATGAATAAATGAATAATAATGTTTGAATATAAATGATTTAATTGTTTGATTTTTGACAGCATTTTTACACTAAGGTCTATTTTTGAGACCAAATCTCAAAAGGTTTAGTATCATTAAACTGTAGCCGAAACGGGGTGTATATTGATCTTAAAAATCATCTCAAATTGTTTGCAAATTATGAGCTTTTAAGTGCAACCTAGAGCTTTAGTGAAATTATGAATATTTTTTGGTTGTTGTGGTTAATTTTTAATAATTTTGTTCATTTTTACTTTGAAATTGAAACCGTGAATAACATTTCTGGGACCACAGTAAAAAATAACACATTTGCCCCAAGTTTTCGAGAATTAAGACTTTTTGTTGAACTATGCAGTTCAACAAAAAGTCTTATGAAAATTTGAAAATCATGATTTTCAAATTTTAAAATCGGTCGATTTTGAGAGGCCCTCGTTTCAAAAAAAATATACTAATGTTACATTAGTAATGTATGGTGGCAAGTTTCAATAATTAATCGCATTTAATCAGGATTGTAAACTGGTATTTTACCACTTGATAATTTTAATATTGAGAAATTTCCAGTAAAAAACTTAAAACTTAATGTACGGGTGTATATCAAAACTCACTTGAATTAGGCATCAAAGAAGTTTCAAAACATTTATAAAAGAATTAATCAACAGATTTATAATTCTTAAAATCCGAATCAATTTAAAGCCATGTTTTCCTGAACATATGAGTAATTTAGAACGCACCTTTAACTTTAATCATCTTATCTTACTTTATAAAAAGTTGTGGAACTTAGAAAATTTTGCTGAATCTTATTTTATTTTTTCAAATTCTTCTATAGTAATAACAGTAGCTTTTCTTTACTTTTGATACATTGATATGTAGCAAAATTTAATTAAAGTTCATAATTCTGATTTAGCACTTATAATTTAATGTAACGTTTTCACTTTCATTTTTATATTCAACGGTTTTTATTTTTTTATATTTAGACGCTTTATGCATTTATTTTCAATTTCATTAAATTACTTGATTTAAGACCTGATGGACCTCGATTTGTTATCATGTTTTTTTTATTCAAACAAAAAAGTGCTATAAATTTATTATGATTGTGTTAATTATTTTTTATGTTTTGAATATTTTCACTCTGTTATACCTAAATTATTTTTATTCAATTTATATATCCCTTTGTTGTTATTGTATTTAATACTTTATATTTTATTTTAGGTAAATGATGACACACATCTGGTATCGAAACTATTCTCGCATAAGTTTTCGGACACAATTAGGTTTTTCTCTCACTGAAGGAAAATCGAAAGAAATGTGGAAAGGTATCCAAAACTAAAAAAACTGAATTTAGTTTTCCTTTTAGATATCGGTTAGATGTATTATGTATTATAAAAACTTGTTTGTTTACTATAATACAATTCCACCATCTAAAACACTATATGTATCTTTTATTTTTATAAATAGCAGATTGTTTTGAATCAGTTAACGATAGAATTTTTCTTTTTTTTAATTCAGATATAATAGTTAATACAAACTAAAAAAAATCTTAGAGAAAATACATGTGTATGTTGTATGTGTTATGTATATTTATAGTCTACAAAATGATTTTCAATTTTCATATGAACAGGGGCAAAGGTTTGCCAAGTGTATAATAAATGGATTACAAGTAACAAACTTCGAAAATTAATGAGCTAAAAAATGAACTAAAAAAGTAGATATATCATTGATGTTTGATATTCAAATTTAAACTGTTGTATAGAAAAATTTAATTTGGTGGACAAAAAGTTTACGTCCGAAATAAGACCTAATCTAAACCGTTTTCTATATCAAAGGTTAAAGAAAAAGGTCAACTTTTTAAAGCTCAAAGAAAGATTATGCTCATAAAAATCATATAAGGTAAATCAAATACCATATTGAATACATTATATTAAGATAAAATTTGGGTAAAGTATCAATGCCTTATTTTTTCTAAGTTTATAAAAAATAAACTAAATTTAAAAAATAGAACAAAGTAATAGTAAATAAGACTAATAATAAATTAAAGCAATAGTTTAAAAATCTAAAAGTTTAATTTTAAAAGAAGAATATATTAGATACTATTAATTAACTTCCCGCAAAAAAATCAAAAATGAAAATTTTTATGCATCTTTACGTTTCAAAGGTTTCTGAACATTTTGGCATACCTTAGAAAAATGGATGTATGTGTGTGTGTGTGTGCGGATACAAATTTCCGTCGACGATTTCGGGAGCACCGATCAACCGATTTAAATAATTCAAAAAACATTCGATTCGTATTGATAAGGAGATGTTTTTGGAAAGGCAGGTCTAGCGGTTTCGAAGATCTGGTAAGAAAATGAAAAACATGTCATTTGGCGGTCAAAATAATCATTAGACATATGCACATATGTCCGTTAAACGGCGACGCAGCGATTACGCGCTTTGATATTTTGTTTCTAAGGTAGCTAAAGCAGTGCGATTGCTTAGAAAAAAAGTTCAAAATTTCCAAAACATTTCAAAATTAAAAAAAAAAATATTTTTTCTAATAACTTTTTTTCCAAAAAAAAATTTTTTTTCAAAATTTTAAATTTGTCAAAAATCGCCATACATCACTAGTTTCTATTTATATTTCTCATAATAAAAGTAAGTAATAGTTTTAAAAAAATATTGAATCAACAACTGCAGTTCTTATATTATAACATCAAGAGTATCAATTTCAAAAATTCTTTCATGCTGCGGCTCTACTATGAGGTCATATAACATGTAACTGGTTTCTCTAGTTATAAAATATGCGTAGGTTTCCATTTCATATATGTTTAACTCACAAATTTTAAGTTTTTAAAATTAAAAATATAATATTAGAATCAAATTAACCAATTAATAATTATACTCTATTTTACTGACTCTATCAAACAAATTACTACACATAAATTCACCAATGATAGAGTAAAAAATAGAATATAGAGTTTTAAATAATTTAAAAAACTATTAAATGAACGTATTTTGTTATAATAATTATAAAAATGTTAAAATCGAAAGTAATTTTCCGGACACCTGTTTGCGGAAACAGATCAATAACACGTGCCTACGTCATAGTAATAATTGTCGTTGTTTACACATGTTTTTATAGTAAAAACAAATATTTGAATTAATATTACATATAAAATAATACATTTGATCTATTTATATAAATTATGATCTACTTAGAATAATTCAACATAACAAATACATTATAACAAGCGGTCAGTTTATAGTTGTTTAAAACTCTATTATTCCAAATATTCAAAAAAATATTGATTATAAAATTGAACACATATAATTAAATATCACTTACGTTATTTTTAATAAATTTAAACACCACTCACATTTAATAAACTACCTTTAAACAAGACGAGATGATATTGTGTGAGGTATATATAGTATTTACGCCTATACTAAATCTTGTATTGGTGAGTCGTTCCACATCATACCCATGCGCGTCAAACTGGAATTGCCGGATTTATACGATTTTTATCTGTTTTTATTTAAGTGATAAATATACAAAAATATGTTTAGATATTATGAATTTAATAATCGCAATGAGATTAATTACTTAATATCAATATTATCAGTATTATTCTATAAATAATATGAATCAATTTGAATTTCCCTCTGCTCAATATATAACATTTTAAATGTTGGTAGTTATGGTACAAGCTAAGCTCGATATGTGGCGCTAAAATCAAATAAAAAATCAAAAGAAAAATGACTTGAATAACGTCCTGTAGTTTTACACTTTAAACAAGGTATGAAAATAAGTTTGTATTGTTTTGATTACTTTAAAAATATAGAATATTAATACCCAATAATTGCATTTCAAAATACCTACAAATATCTGTATAAATGTATATTTTGTAGAGGTAGAGCCATGAACAAAGAATACAATGGTAATAGTTTTTTTTTGTTTTTTTTTTTAAATTAGATTGTTTTAAAAAAGTAGTGAATATTACCAAATTAATAAAATTATGAAAGAGAGGAAATTATATAAAATTATAATAAAAATAAAAATAATAATAAATAAATGGATTAAAATAACTAAATATTAAAATGGAGCTAAAAATTAATGGCAATTAAAAAATACTACCTGCATGATTAACTAAAAAAAATAAGATTTTTATAAAAAAATAGTGAATTTTAACAAAATTAATAAAATTATGAAAGAGTTAAATGATATAAAATATAATAAAAATAAAAATATTAATAAATAAATGGATTATATAACAAAATATTAAAATAATAGCTAATAATTTAAAAAATAGAAATTAAGAAATAAACGAATTATTTACCTGCATGATTGACTATATACGTGGTCTGTTCAAAAAGTACCCGGAATTACTAATAATTAAATTTCGCGGGTCTGGAGTGTCTGATTGTCAAATTTTTTTTTTATTGTGTTGGTATACATGCCCCTAAAGTATGATGAAACTTTCAGCTATATTCATTGTTTACTTTGTCTGTGGTAGTCGCTAAGGTTCGACGTGTTTTTCTGAGCTCGGCGATTTTTACAATGGAAGAATTGAAAAGTCAAAGAATTTGTATTAAATTTTGCGTAAAAAATGAAATAAAGTGTTGCAAAGTGCAAAAATTCACCAGATATGGCTCCGTGTGACTTTTTCCTATTCCCAAAGTTGAAGAGACCCATGAAAGGACGGCGGTTTTCCTCGATTGAAGAAAATCGCTGAGAGTGCTCAAGGACATATCAAAAAGTGAATATCAAGGGTGCTTCGAAAATTGGAAAAAACGCTGGCATAAGTGTATTATATCTGGGGGGGACTACTTTGAAGGGGACCACATTAATGTAGACGAATAAATAAATATTTTATATTTATATACGAAAATTCCGGGTACTTTTTGAACAGACCACGTATATATACCAACACTTTATATATTACTAAAACTTCTGTTTTTTTTAACTTTTTTGAAAAAAATTCAATTTTTCTAATTAGAGTTGTTCTAGCTACAAAAATCTTTTTTTTATTTATAATTTTATATTTAAATTTATTTATATCTTTTATATTTGTATGTTTATGTAGGCCATTTATAACCTACGTCAAAACATTTTGATTTCAGAAATAAATTAATTATACTTATAATCAATTATTATATGAAATATTATTGTTTTTTTACAAGTGATGCGTCATAAGTACAAAAATTATATAAAGAAGTCTCAGAGCCTTTTTTAAATAATTTTAATAAAACTTAAAGATAACAAATCATAAATCATATGTAAATAATTAAAATTGTTCCCTCAAACTATTTTTTTGTTTAAATAGACACAGCACTTTGCTATAGCTAAATTTATAAAGATTTCCAGGAATAATATTAATATTATAACATTTCATAAAATTACTCATATAATGAATTGAATTTATAGAAAATTACTTTAATAAATTTTGAACTATATTAGAACAACTTAGGAATGTATATAGAAATAAATATACGTATGATTGTGTAATTGTAATAATGACATGTAAAAATATATATAAAATGTTATTTTGATATTTTATATATTTTTTTATACCAGACACTTCTGCCTGAATGAAATAAACAAAATGTATTATAATTGATTTTTTTTTAAATTACAATATTTATTACAACAGTTAAATAATTTAACATCTAGTAATAATAATGAGCTATAACACAGATTTAAATAAAAAATAGTACAAAGGATAGAATTCACATTAAAATGATATCCATAGTATAGTATGGTGATTTAATATAAAATAAAAGCAAATAATAATAATAAAATTAATAAATACGTTAAATACAATTTCTTAATAATAAAATAATACTAGAAAAACAATAAAGTGGAATAAAAACAATAATTGACTCATAATAATAAATATAACAAAATAACAATATTAGAAATAATAAGATAATAATAATAGTAATATAATAATAATAATAATAATAATAATAATAATAATAATAATAATAATAATAATATTAATGTAAGCGTTTAAAAATGGCTATTTGTTATTCAAAAAATTAAATATTTATCTTAATTTGCACGCACTTATATTTCTTTTATCACTCAGATACAAAGTTTTAGTATCATTGACATGTCTGTTATTTTGTAACTTGATATTACAGTATATTGTTATAAAGTTGAAATATGTGTTTAAATTTCGCGCCGAATGCGCAACATCGAGCGCCACGATGTTGGCAACGCTCGAATAAATTAAGCAGTTGTCAGAGTGTCCGCGACGCGGCGCTGGTATCGCGGCCGTCTTTCATTGTATTGACTGGTCGTATGTCGCCTTCTTGAGGGTGCAATGACTAAATGTTTTATTGACATATTCAGTGATGTGTGATATTTTTAATGTGTGTCAATTGTTGTGAGTGGTGTATATTAATCTAAGAATAATGTAGAATACAAACAAATACTGGCGGATAAGCTACGCGGCCATTTTACTAGCAATGCGGCAGCCGTGTACATTCCGCCATTGGAAACAATCAGTATCTTTCTCCAGGTGCAAGTTTTCGAATTTCTTAATTTTGCTTAAATTGTACACAAGCTAGGGACTATGTGGTTTTTGGTGTCGATATTACGGACTTTTATATAGTGAATGGTATAGTGTTTAGTGTGCCATAGATAATGTGCGAACGATGGAAAACGAAGTGAAACATAGGAATCAGAGAAACCGCAGAAGGGAACGGGCGCAGCGCATGCAAGCGCAACGGGAGACCAAGGTCCGGGATGGGGACAGCGGAGACGACGAGCCCCTCACGTGGGAGAAGCCCCCGAGGCCCCCCAACAGAAGGAAAAAGTCTAAGGAGCCCATTCTCGAGGAGGACATTATCGACGGATTTGCGATAATGTCATTTCGCACCTACGAAGATCTTGAGGTTTGACACATTTCAAATCGTTTTTCATTCATAGTTTATGTCATTGCAAAAGTCCTACGTCAATTTTATGACGTTTTTTTTATTATTGTTTATGTCACTCGATATGGTTGATATTGATTGTCATATCATGTTTTATTTTGCTTATCAAATTCCCTGTGTTATTTGTTGTGTTTTCACTCATTCCATTCTATATTATGTTTATTAAATGCATCATAATTAAGCATTCTTTATCATTGAGCGCGATGGGCTTTAATTAAATTTATTGTGTACTTTAAGGGGTAGTGGAGTGTAGAAATCCAAAAAAAATTGTTTTTTGCTTTTGTTTCATATTTTCGAAGTTTAACTATTTAAGAATATGTGTGCGAGAGGATTTTTCAAAATTTAATTGTTTTCGGAGATACAGCTGTTTGACCATGGTAATTTCCTTTTGCAAAACTTTTCGCGTTTCTCCCAAACAGACTTTTTCAATACAATGCCCACAAATTATCAACTTCTACTGGACAGATTTACTTGAAATTGTCAAAGAATCTTCTTTATAAACTTCTCTCTGACATATACAAGCTTCATCCCTAAATTTCAATTTTTACTATTTTTAAAATAGTTCGTGAAACTCAAAAAGTTCTCTTTTTTCTTATACAGTCACCATTTTGTCGAAATTTATTTTTTAGTTAGTTGTTTTTAGTTTAGTCAGTTTTAATGTTAGTACATACCATTGCGACATCATTCTGGATTAATCATCTTTTTTTCTTTCTCATTTCGAATTACTAGGAGGGCTGCAATAATGAGCATGATCACGGGTCAATTTTTTGGGACCCCTCACTTCAAAAACTGCTAATTTTTAAAATTAATTACTTTTTCTGTTTTTACTTTCTTCTGTACTTTTGTAACATAGATAAATTTAAAAAAAATGAAACTTTATAAACTTCTCTCTTACATATATAAGCTTCATCCCTAAATTTTAATTTTTACTATGTTTAAAAAATTCGTGTAACTCAGTCATCTTTATTTTTCAAACAGTCATCATTTTGTCAAAAATTTATTTTTGAGTTAGTTGTTTCTAGTTTAGTCAGTTTTGATGTTAGTACATACCATTGCGACATCATTCTGGATTAATAATCTTTTTTTATTTTTTATTTCGGATTACTAGGAGGGTTGCAATAGTGAGCATGATCATGGGTCAATTTTTTGGGACCCCTCCGACTTCAACAACTGCTAATTTTTAAAGTTAATAACCTTTTCTGTTTTTACTTTTTTTGTGTACTCTTGTAACAATGTTAATTGAATTATAGGAAAAATAATAGTAAAACAATTGATTGCCTCTTTAAAAATGACCTAAATTTCGTGCCTCTACACTGGAGTACCCCCTAAAATTCAAGGCATATGTGCTCTTGATAAAATGCAATTTCATCTTATATTGATAAAACTTCATAGTTTTGAATAGCTATGGCATTTCTGCCATTTTCATTTAGTATTTTACTTTAAATTTACATCTGTTTAATAAATCCATTACATTTTCCGTTTAATTTATTACCATTTAATAGCAGACAAATGTTAAAATCTCCTTCCTTCTGGCAGAGGCTACCTTCATCCTAAATCTATTTTCCGAATGATCTGTCAAATGCCCCACGCGTTGATGTGTCGCCAAGATGAAAAAGTAGTGTATACAATATACTACTTATCGTTTTACTGCCAAAGTGTTTATGAGACAGTCAATGTAAATCAAATCATAAATCTAACAACGATATTTTATAGGTTTTCATTGTTCCCCCAAGTATTTATAATACAGACTTCTTTGCTTTTATGATGTTTTGCTAATAATTTATACACACTGCTGTGTTTGTAAACGTTTGTAAAACTTCTTTGCGGCTGTTAAGTGCAATCATTTGATTGTTTTATAGTAATGTTAATTTAATTATACACTTCGATCGATACTCAAATTACTTAATGTTTCTGGTTAATTTTTGTACATATTTTTGAAAGTAAATATCGAAGAATGCTTTCATTTTCACATTAAAATGGGCAAATACAATAATGTACTTCTTCGGAAACTTTATTAATCTAGTCATTACAGTAAGTTCACCTCGCGATTTGAGATACCCAGCTGAAAGTCTGTAAATACTTGTATATTGACACTAAAAAGTTGTCTCAAAACCTACATATGGTAGGATGTACATGAACTATATCTCCAAAAAAATTTAAAAAAATGCCTGTAGACCTCAGAATAGAACTTTACGTACTACACTTTCTGGTTATTGAAACTGTTTGTTTTCAATATATTTTTTAAATAATTATTTTATAGAACAGCTTTTGAGATAAAAGTTTAATGTACTACATAACCAGAAATTTAAAAAAAAGGGCAAGCACAATAATATACTATCGCATCTTCTTCGACATAGTCAGCCTCCAGAAAAAAAGAGTGCTACTAGTATTTAATAAAAATTACTAGCGTTTAATAGAATTTTTAAGTAAATACCATTTTACAGAGCAGCTCACGAGTTGAAATTGTATATTTATTGCTATTCAATATGAAATTTAAAAAGTAATGAAGATCATTGTACTCAAAAAGCAGCAAGCTTATTGTATTATCCGATTTAATTTTTTAAGTTTTTAGGTAAAACATTGTAACTTTTATCTCCGATGCAAGAATAATCAATAAATAAATTATATTTCTATATCAAAATTATTAAAATATTTTTACACACATGCACATACATATATGATATATACATTAGGGTGGTCCTTAATATGGACATTTTCAAATTTTCTTGCTCCCAAGGGCTCAAATGGTTCCAAATTGATAAAAAACAATTCTCTGAAAGTTCTAGCTCTTAATATTGTCTTTTAGATAGAGCGCAATGCAATCAAAGTTTTGTATGGAAATAGCATGAAAAAAATTTCAAAAACTTTAAACATGTTTTTTAGATATAATTGAGCAAACAAACGAATAAGTTTTATTCAAAATTTGTCGCTAAGTTATACCTAAAAAATTTTTTGTTCAATTTTCAAAAAAAAATCATGCTATTTCTATACGAAGATTTAATTGCGCTCAAACTTTCAGAGAATTGTTTTTTATCAATTTAGAACCATTCGAGCCCTTGGGAGCAAGGAAATTCGAAAATGGCCTTATTAAGGACCACCCTAATATACATATATTAATTTTTGTCATCTAAGTAGCCAAACATCAAAAGCAATGTAATTTGTTAAGCTGTCTTCGCAAAACAAATAAATTTAATTCTAAATCTCGCCTGATTGTTTTTTAACTCGATTTAAAAAGCTGTTATCTTAATTTAGTTATTGTTGACTGTTGTTCCGAAATGTTTGTAGTTTTAAATTCCCTTTAAAAGAAGCCTCGATGCATCTCTGGTTACATGTAACAATAAGACAGAATCGCAACGCCGATCGGTTGAATGACCTTGTTTCAACATAGAATAATCTTCACTTACAAGCAGTTGCACATTTTACATAAATCTGTTCTATTTCTTGCTGCAGATTTAATTATTTCTTGCTTTTGCGCATTTGAAAGCATACACCGTTGGTAAAATTTATACAACAAACTTTTATTTTTTGAGCTGAAAATTATATATCCAAAGAATTATTCCAATCCATTCACGAATATATGCAGAAACTGAAAATTGTATTATTGATACAATTGAAATTACAATTATTGCTGCTATAAAACCTTGGTTTATTGCATGCTCTTGTTAAATGATGTGCAGATTTTCCAGATCTTAAATTTAAAGAGCATTGAATGCAATTTTATTATCTTCTTTTACAAGCTTTTATAACCTTTTTCAAAAAATAGAAGAAAACGAGAGTTTTGTATTGTCCAATGCAACAAAAGGGATTCTGAAAGTATCCCTTTTTATAAATGAAAACTAGTGGGGTGTATGGCATCGTGCCTTAAGGCAAATTGGTGGAACTTCCCGTACCAAAAATTATTATTTTTTTAAAAAACGATTAAATTTTTGAAAAAATTAGATTTTTGAGAAACTATAAATTTCACAAAAAATTACTTTCTTATTAAAAAAAAATTATTGAAAAAAAAATGTTTTCTTTATTTTGACATATTTTGGAAATTCTGAACTTTTTTTCAAAGCAATCGTACTGCTTTAATTGCATAGAGACGAAATGCCAAAGCGCGTAAGCGCCGCGTCGCCGTCTAACGGATAAACATTGGTACGGAACCTATAGGAATGTAAACAAAATTTATACTTACTGTTAAAATCTCTATAAAATATCTGATAATTTGATGTGCATATGTCTAATGATCATTTTTGACCGCCAAATGGCATTTTTTTTACTTTTTTCACTAGATCTCCGAAACCGCTAGACCTGCCTTCATGAAAATTTGATCAATTCTTCATCTTGTTAAATACAAGTGAAATGTTTTTTGAATTATTAAAATCGGACGCTCCGTTCTCTTAGTTACCATTTTTGGCACTTTTTGCCCCGTATCTTGGAAATGGCTAGACCTGCCTTCGCCAAAAACTAATCAGCACGTCTCCTTATTAATACGAATCGAATGTTTTTTTTTTGAATTATTCAAATTATTTAATTATTTCCCGAATTCGTCGACGAAAATTTGTATCCGCACACACACACGCACACACACATACATTCATTTTTTCTAAGGTATGCCAAAATGTTCAGAAGGTTTTGAAACGTAATGATATATAAAAATGTTTTGCGATAATTATAACTACGGGAAGTTAATAACATGAAATACAATTATTATTGTTTTGCATTTACATAAATTTTATTATTAATTTTTGCATATAATATAATAGTATTATTACAATTTAAGTCTATGGTTTCAAAGCTTTAGATAATGCGTTCCCACGTTTTTTTTTTTTTAAAATGTTGACTGATAATTAAACAATCTAATTCTATAAATATTGATATTTATTTACCAGACTTTAAATTAATATACAATATAAAAATATATGTAAAAATAATTATCTATTCATTCATTTTTGGTTAATTTTCGGAAATAACATTTT